ATTTCATTCTTCGGGTTGATTTAATTAGATTGTATGATATATGGTATTGCTAATTCAGAGGCTCTCTTTGCAGTGTCTAGGCCGCTGCTCCTATTGTCGGCAATCTGTCAGCCCCATTTTTAACAGTATTGAAAAATTCAAGCTTTATTATTGCTCGCTCACTCTTTCTCTCCCATCAGGAGGAAAGTAATGAGCTTTTCTTCTTATGAGAGCAAGCAGAGAGTGTGGTGCCCTTAGCGCTTCAGGCACCGAGCAGTATTAACAGCCTGATTCATGAGTTAAGTTTCTAACTGCCCGTGGCTATTAGCACTCAGTCCTTTGGCTGTCATTTAGTTAAAAAGACTCTTCGGTTAATTCACTCTTTTAATGAGACTGTGCTATTCAACTAATGTATTTTACTGTATGAAAGGTCACACCAGGAAGCAAAACAGATTGGAGGGAATGTAGCGGGAAGCCTGGCTGTCAAGAAACAGTTCAAGCCTCGCAGGCATTTAGCGGTCCCGGCGCTGTAATGGGCTGGGGAACTGATGGGCCAGCGCTCACCTCAACAGTTGAGCTCCATAAATCACAGCTAAATAGAAAGCAGATTAATCAGAGCCACAGACAAAAAGAGCACGTGTTTCATTACCCATATAATCACTAACATGATTGCCAGACAAGCCAGGGAGCCGTACACAGGGCTGACAAAGCACGGCATGGCACAGGGCTCGGCCGGGCTTAGCGGCGGCCGCGCGATCGACTCCTCGGGCTGCTGCTCTCCTGGCTAGGAAAGGCAGCGACAGGGCTGGGGCAGGCACGAAATAACAATGGGAAGTTGTGGCCATAAAGGCTTGCGTTTGGTTTCCATAGAGCCCTCTGCCTCAGCGCGGGCTGCAGAAGGTGGTGTTGAGATGCAGGCCGCTGCACTGAGCAGGGCCCAGCGCTCCTGCTGCCTTCAGGTGCCCTCTGAGCCTCCAGACACCTGCCAGCATCAGCACACGGCACCAAGCTTATGGTGACAACTTCTGTGCTTCTCCAACATCGTTTGCTCGCGGTGCTTGTCACGTCACCAGGAAGTTATATGCAACACACACACCCGCATTGCTCAGCTTCTCCCTGCTCTGCCTCAGCATCTCTGCGTGGAATGTCCAATCAAACATGTTTTTCGGAGTACTGCTCGTTAATGCACCAAAGGAGAAAATGAGAGGAACCTCTAATTTTAATAGCCTCGCATCTGCCTGCCGGAGCATTAACCATCTGAATTATTGTGAGGGCATGTGTGTGTTTTGCTCATTTTTAATTAGTGTCACTGGGGGAAAAACTTCAGCACTTTAGGGGCAAAAGTATATTATTTTTTAGAAATTGTAATTCCCTCAAACTACGGTAAACAAATCATTCTGATTTAAATTTCCTAAGCAACTTCCAAACAGGGAAACCGTATGTTTAATTACTAAACATCTGTTGCAAAGAATACCCCTAGCTTTTGCAGCACTGATATCGCTGTATGAATTTTAAAATCTGTCAGCAAGGGATCATGAAAGCTTTGGGAGCAGAGAGCTGCTCACTTTAACCCCTGAACCAGATAATCTAACAGTAATCCATTCAAAACTAATCAAACATTTACAGAAACGCACCAGCACTGAGGAAAACAATTCATCATCTTCATATGCTCATTACACTTCCAACATCTCAATCTACCTATGTAAATGAGACCGGGGATCTGACATCAGGTCCATGTACAGAAATTATAAACAAATATTCATCCATTATGCTGCTGAAATTTAACAGCTGGAGCACTAACAGTAGCTGAACTCCAAGCCCTGAGTATCAATTATTTATGAACCTAAAACTGACAAGACTGTCTAGGTGAATTAGCTGCATATGTCAAGCTTTGTTATAAATCCCAGCCTACTGTAAAACTCATTTTCATAGAATGTATGTACAAGGCTGACAATATATCAACAGTACGGCATTAATAATTTAGAAGAATGGTACCATAAGGGAGCACCTAGAAACTCTGCTCTGCAATATAGTTGATATTACAAATAAAAAAGTCAAATAAAATGAATTTCCCATAAACAGAGAATCAAATAAAGCATTTCTCTATGATTTTATATTCAATTTTCAAAAAACTTACCAGTTGATAGTTCCATTTTTAGGAACCATAAGCGTCTCCTGAAGTTGTTTAATTTTTTGCCCAGTGCTAAAAATGCCTTTGAATTTTTAGTTCTGTTGATGTAGGCTGTGTTGCATTTATTTTATTTTTACAGAATAAGATCAAAAAGTAAGCAGAAGGTAAGAGGCAAAAGGAAATTGTTGTTTGCAGCAAGCAGTACTGCATGCCGTGGTTTAATACCCTGAAATATAATAAAGAGACTGACTATAAGAACAGTTAATTATAGGCTCAAATCTACCTTTTGATGAATGCATACCGCACAAAATGAGGCAAAGGCTGCTCCAATCTGGTGGTAGAATTTGGTTAGATGCATTAACCATTGCTGCTGTTTGAGACATTATGAAGTTTCTTTGCTTTCTGTTGTGTAAGAAGTGCAACAACATACATAGCATAGTGGAACAAAAGGGTAAGTTCTAAACCAGAACTATTATCAGCCTAAGAAAAATTCTGATCTGGAAGTCTACAGTGAGATCTAGAAAAAGGACCTATCCAAACTTTACCCAAAGGAGGATAGGAGGAGGGAGAAGAGAGAAAGACTCAACCCCAGACTTGAGTGAAACACCACATCTGAAGGACAGTTAAAGGGAATCATTAGCATTCAGTACATGAGGCTACTGTGGACTTCCTGGGGATTGCTCCCATGCTTAAAGTTAGTTCTTGTTTTGTGTACTCCTTCATTGGGATCCATATAAAAAACATAGCAACAACTTATGAAAATGTGTTTCAGGACTGAGGAGAAATCACTAAAACCTCAAAGCTGAGTTGCACAGTGTTTTTGAAAGTATTCCATCAGTAGCAAAAGCAAAAAATATATATATATACATTTTCAAAGGATCTGCAATGGTCCAAGAAAAGGAGACAAGATATCTGAGTATTTTGATGCAGTGAAAAGAGAATGTAGAGGACGAAATAGATCCTTATGATGCACACATATATATGAAAACAGAAATAAAATAGTAGATTTTATCAGGGACATAAGGAAAATGCTACAGTGACATCACTTTATCATCAGGATATCATTGTTTCTGACTCAGGAAATACTTGCAAAAAACTGTGAAGATATAATAAATTTGCAGTATTTTTCAAGAGAGAAAAGTGTGCCTCGATGCCTGATACATCAGGTATTCATGGACAAAGAGTTTTTTCAAGAAGCTGTTGCTGGTCAGACCCAGGGATACCCAGAGGTCATCCAGTGCATCCTCCTGTAGCACAGAAAGAAGGTTCGTATAACAATTCCTACTTAATTCTTCAGTCTACTAGGAATTTCCATTTCCCACTGCTTTAATATTATCTGCATGGGTTATTTGCTTTATGTTTTCATAAGTAGAGTCCAATAATAATAATTCACTGAGGGTGAAATTCACTCCCGGGCAGAAAGCCCAAGAAAAGGCCTTTGCATTACTCAAGTCATTCCAAAGTGCTTAAAATAGGATTTGTTTGGATTTAAATGGAGCAGAGAAATTATGCTGGCTCTTTCAATAAGAATGACTTCACCTCGAATGCCCCACAGGGCTGTGGTGCTTACTGTCAAAATCCATAAGAAGTGCCCCCACAGAGTTCCAAAGTAGAATGAAGATCTTGTAGTCTGCTCAAAACAATGAATAAAGGAATACAGGCAATCCACAGAAGAAGAAATACCTAAGCTTCATTTCTGGACTTAATTAACTGATTTGGTGCCTGATGACATCTCTCACTTTGCACGTTCTTCTTGTTAATTGATGCTTTTACTATTGCTCCCAGCCTCTTGTTCTTGTTCATACACATGGCACCTATGAAATCTTTCCCAGTAGCTCTTTCTGTTAATGTCCAAAATTCTGCTTGAATACTTCTGTTTTTCCAAAAGCCCTTGGTTTTCATCTTCATAATGTAGTAAAGGTGAACACTGTTCTAGTTGAGATAGGATAGAGAGGTACGCTAGCATTCAGACTCCATATATAACTCCTTTGGGCTTTTGCAACTGTGGGTTAAGCTCAAAAGACAGAGGTCACCAGCAAACAAAGAGTAATTGGAGTACACCTGTGAGTTTGAGCTAACATTTCATGAGATGAGGGCTACATAGTGCATTTCCAAGGCATCAGCTCAACAGCTGTATGTTTTCCTTTAATTTCTGTGAGGGCTTTTCAACACAATAGTCCTGTGATTTCTTGAAAATTTTAGTTAGAACTGAACCTAGAGCTGAGAGCCTCATAATCATAACTCAGAAACTGGATTTGGAACTGAAAAATAATTCAAAATGAAAAAAAATGATTTTTTTTGAATTGGCCGTACTTGGCGATAACTCTTGACTTATTCTTCTGTGCTGCTGCAATAAGCTATGATTCCGGGGACCTACTTTTGTGACAAAAAGATAACTCTCTTGGGAAGAAAATTGCCACTCCGACATAAATCTATGAAACAGGAGTTTATGGGAAAGTGGAAAATATGAAAAAAAAAAAAACAAATATACCAAGCTAAATAGGCATTAATTTATGGACATACTGCTTGAATTCATAAGTGCAGCAGCCATCCAGTGATCCTGGAGAAGCAGTGGTAGTCTTTTACTAGAGCCTCAACATTGATATAATTAACTATATATTGGTATATGATCACTGCTATTTTTTTATACAATATTTTCTAGCTGTAAAATTTCACTTATAGCAATTCCTGCTTTTCATTGGCAAGTAGTTTATTACTTCCCAAGTCATGCTCATTACTGCCTATGGGAAGTCAGTTGCATCTGGTCTCAGTCATTTGCTGCTGAGACATCAGCTTTGTTGTTCTGATCGTTGGTAGTGTTGATAACTGACTTTAAAAAGAAGCACAATAAAAGAGAGTGAAGATTGCATTGCATTAATCATGAATATCACACAGTAATAACAGACATCATGTTTGACTGCATTTTGTCTTTTCAATTAGACTTTACAACTCATAACCCCCACTTTTTTTTTCCAGAAAACGAGGTTCCCACATTATAGAGCTAAGAATGAATTAGAAATGTCTAATATCCAACAGTTTTTGCTCTTCCAACCTCAAACTGCTATCCATATCTAGGCAAATGCTACACAAATACCTGTGGATTAAAGTGATGTAGTTGTACCACCCAAGATCCTCTGAAAGTCAGACGTAGACTGTAGGGTAATATCACAGTTTAATATAGCATCCAATCATTCAGGTAAGTTGTAACACACAAAGAGTACAAGAGGACACTGGGACAAGACATCTTGATTTATAGTGATGCCTAACTTAAGTACTGTCCATCAATAGCAAAGATCCCAAAATGAATGCCGATTTACATCAGCCTGAAAAAAAAAAAAACCCAATTATCATCATACATAAGTGCAGTAAAAAGGAAGGAGATTCTCTGTTTTCATCTCCTGAGCCTTGGAAGCCGTAACAACAGGCAATATAAGCAGATAACTCGTCTTCAGCTTTAAACAGGAGTGACTGATGACCCAGAAGTACTGCCATTTCTGAGTTTTCACAGCACTGAGTGTCACCCTATCTGGCTGACACCTTGCTAAAAGAGCTCAGGGTTGACTCTGCTTCCAACAAAGCAGGTAAGAGCTGCTAATCCTAGCAGTGCTGTTGCTTGTGCATGGCCTATGCACACTCCATACACCAACAATTAAATTTACAAACCATTTCAAAATTGCATACAGCTAGCAACAAAAATGAGGATTATGATATTTGGATGGCTGAACTTGATGCCTGATAAATCTCTACTTTCTACCTTCTTTCCAGCTCATTTGGAGGGTGCAACACATATGCCAGGAGACAGAAGTTCACTAATAATGTTTTATGTGCTCTCACACGGAAAAGGTCCTTGTGGTTGTAACGATGCTGATTTTTTAATCATGTCATCACAGTTGATGCTTAAAACAAGCAGAGCTCCAGCATTATTGTAGAGTGGCTGCCTTTTTCTTTCCTAGGAAAGAAAACCAACAGAGAAATGTTAGATTAGTGCAAATAACCAAGGCAAAAAAACAGGGAGCGAGGACCAGGTTTGCGGCTCTGCTAAATAGAGAGATCCAGGATGTACCAACTCTGCAAGATTTTGCTTTGCCTTTTAGTAAAGAGTGGCCAAAGCAAAGAAATAAAGAGAATGTTGAGAGCTGTTCTTTTGTTTTGGTGTTTTCTTTAGATTGGATGTGAACTGCAACCCTAGATGTACATAAATCCTTATGATGGCCCAGGCCTCGCCCTCTGATGACTTTTGAGTATTATATGCTGGTGTGATTACTGGAAAGTTTTTATGAAAGTTGGTTTAATTTAATGAGAATCTATCTTGAGAAGCAAGTGAGGAAGGAAATGGACTTGTAAATATTTAAAAGTTTTAAGAAGATTGTGTCATATTTATAGCCTTTCATGATTTTACTTCTACAACACTGGTTTAATGCAGAAGAGGAAAAAAATCTGTGAATATATAAAGTGAACTCTCCCCACATAAGAAGAGCAGGCCCTGGGGGAAACAGTCCCTTACTCAGCCCAGTTGTGCAACTGAGTTCCTATGTTATGTGAATCCATGAGGCTACAGACCCTGCACAAGTGTTTATTTCAAGAAAACAGACAGAGAAGGTTTGTTTGAATTTGATGATTGCATTTCCAAAAATAAAGGTTGCAGGGTTAGGATTAAGAAATATTCTTCTGGAAGGAGGTTTTATTTTGTGTCTGCCTGAACATGAGCAACAGAGGTACATTCTCTAATGGATTAATGTAAGTGAGGCAGCAAGAAAGCCTTTTAATGGTGTGGAATGCCCATTAATGCAGATTATAGCAAGAAATGGGAATTATAAAGCAGTTATTGTCTACACAAAGAGCTGAAGAGGTCCTTCGTTGGTATTTTTCCAGTTATTGAACTATCAGGTGTGACGGCGTAACACGAAATATGGAAGCTCAACAAATGTCATACTAAGTACTTTTCAAAGCTGTAATTGATCATCAAATTCCAATAACAGCTTAGGTACTTTAGTTGATATTGAGATTAATATACAGCTTCCTGCAGCAAGAACCTCTTCAGTTTCTGACCTTGGCTGGTAGTAAAACCCAATCGATATTTAGACCAAGCAAGCTTTCCAGAGAGGATGCATTGAACACATTAGTTTTCTAAAAAAACATACTGCCATCAGCTGGAAAATCTAATCCACTCTGAGGAATATGATGGAACGGAATTGAGTAACAACCCCAAATAAAAACAGGGTTTACTTAAGCTTATTTTTTTTTTAAACTCTTTCAGCATCATGATTTTCTACTGCTAGTTTCTACTCAAGGAGGAAGCACTGAGTTCTTGCATAAAGAAAGGCATTTATTTTGAACACCCATTTAGAGGACATGGAGTCAGCAATACAACATAAACACTATGTCCAGCTAGACTGACCAATATCTTGACCTTCAAGGTGCCAGCTACACACAACTATTTCAGTGGCCAAAAATAATTCCCCTAGCATTCCCTGAAAAAAAAGTAATAGGTTACAAACAAATACATTTCTAACACAAATTTCTCAATAACAAGTCCATTGACAATATAACATAAATGACACTTAGCTAGCACTTAATTGAAGTCGTGCTTTCATCATACACATTATGCATTTTTTCCTTTCTATATCTATCCCTTATGATCATACAAAAATATAAAGTATTATACTAAAATGAATAAAGATTTAATTAATCTCGCCAATGTTTTTGAGGTCTTGCTTAGAATTGTTTACTTTCATCATGTGTTAGGCTGAGTGAAGACCAAATTTCCAAAGAGCTTCAAACTAATCTAAGTGATTTTTCTCCTGAATCTAAAAATAACTGAACAGTGATTTTTTTTTAATAGCCATTTATTGGATTAACAGTTTTATAAACATCTAATGGCTCTGGCCAGGAAATGGATGAAACACTACCACTGGCATTCTTTTTCATAATGAAGTGTGCACTTCCCTGTAGTGCTAGGCAGTAAAAGATCTGGCCCATATGTGATACACACTTGAGTAAAAGTAAAAATAAGTAGAGAGTGCAGCTGTTAATCGCTACCTTTTCCCATTCCCTCAGTGGAAAGCAACTATTTCTATGTACAAGATTAGTTCAGAAGAGCAATAGAAAGGTGGGGGCTGGAGCAAATCTGTGCTCTGAATGACACAGGTATGATGCTTATCATAGATCTGCAAACCATGCCCTCTTAAATCAAAGTACTGCTCTATTGCAGCACCTTAATTGTTCCAGGTGATGTAGTCAGTAAACATTTGCTCAAGATTTTGTGTGTACTATACTTTCAAGAATTGTTTTCTATTTAAAATATTTGTTTTGCTTCAGTCTTTGATAAAGTTTTTGTCCCACTGCAAATAAAATGAGCTCTGATAACTTACGTGCACTCTGTCTGTTGACTTACCCTGGTGGAAATGCATTTCTGTGATTTCTTTTTGGAACATTCCCATGGTAAGGATGCCTCCCTGCTAGCATGTAGAACTGAAAATGGACACAAACAATGCAGTGACACCGTGGACACAACTGTTACACTCAGCTCATAAGTAAAGGTATAAGCACTGAATGCCAAATGATGAAAAGACATTCAAATTTTAAATTTTTTTTATGTATGCTATTACAGAATCAAATTTTTTGATGTTATGGTATAGAGCTGAAACAAAGTGGGATCTAACAACAATGGCATATGCAGCAATTCCTCTGCAGAGTGCAGGCAGGAACTTCATCTATTCTGGCATAGAGCTTTTGTTCAGTAACATTTCAAGTTTTATTGCCATTGATTGTATAACAAATAGAACAATAATAATACGTGCAGATGGGAGACTATACCTAACCAATGTGCTACAGTTTAACTGAAACATTCCATTTCTCTCATCTCCTTCCAAATGAAGAGTAAGGGAGACATATTAGCTAATGCCCTAAAGCCTTGTTATGCCCAATATACTAAAACTCAATTATTCACTACAGGAAGACCTTCCATGCTGAGACTGGATGTAACACAGAACACATACTTAGTGCCAGTGTCCTGAGCAAATAAGCTGTAGAGCCTATTGCAGGGCTGATGCTCCAACAGAGCCATAAGTAGTGGCCCCACAAGATGCAGAGAGGGACAGTTCTTCCCAGATATCTGTGGGACAAACTCACCCACCTGAGCTAATGAAGCTTTCTGGCAGCCCCTCACAGCTCTCAGCACACGAGCTGGGGATTTTTACAGCTCCATTTCACCCTCCTGCTCCTGTTTGGTGACCAGGAGGTGACACTGCAGGCACAAGAGCCCCGCAGGTGCCAGCCCCTCCAAAGCAGTTTTGCATCAGGTGACCGCTGCCTTGCCTTATGGTGAGTAAAAGTCATAAAACTACCATCAGCTCAATGGCTGTAATGACTACTCTGAAGCTTTTTATAGGCGATAAGCTAGTGCAAAGGTCTGCTGGTAATTTGTGGATAGGGTACATTACCGTTATCCTTGAGGAATTTCAGCTTCCTTTTTATATGCCTTTTTTCTCTTGAGGGGATCCTGAAATTAACAGAAGGCGTTAGTGTGAAGCTCTGCCAGAGCCTCTCACTGAGCACAGATCGCATTTATTTCTCCTCAGACATCCTCTCGTGCTCCCACGAGAGCTGTAGCCTGCTGATGTGGGGCTGGAGGTCCCCTTCTGCCCCTCGTGGGCTGCAGGGTGGCCATGAGACAGTAAAGTAAATAGAAATCTCATGGAAATGGTATAAAAAGGGGACGGAAACCAAACCAAACGGTTGGAGCCCAAATGAAAATGGAGGGTGACTGAGTAATTTAGCCAGTAATGGCAAATCTCAAGCAACTGGCTTCTGTGCACACTGCTGGGCTGCAATGGATGTGTGTGCCATGCTCTCAGCACCACAGGCAGTACTGCTACCAACAAAACAATCTCACACAGATCATGAAATGTTAAGAAGTTCATTTGTTTAAAGCATTATGAAATAGTTCCCTTGCAGATCTCATCCTTTAATTTCCTGCACTGGGGCTGAGGTGTGGGACACCAATACTGACAGATCAGATTAACACCTCTGATGCAGAGATTTTCCACTGTGCTACTGCAAAACACATCACTGTTGCAATATGAGCTCTGGATTCTGGACCTGTTGCTCCCTGGGGCCTTGAACAAACTAACACAAAGCAAAAACAGCAAGAGTGATTCCTTCCAGTGGGGAAACTAATCTGCCTGGGCTGCTAATATGCCTTTTGGAAGGGAGAAAAATCAAGAAGGTGATGAATTTTTCTTTTTCACCTTCTCAATAAATCTATTTTCTCCCTGCATTGCAAGGCTCCATACAAACCCTGTAGGTGCAGCAAATTGCTCAGTATGCATACAGTGGTTGGAAATAATGCAAAGACTGGAGTCAGTGGAGGATTCCAGTTTTTCTGTGGTACAGATCATGATTTGGCAAACCAGGTATAAGGCCCAACAATTATTCACGATTACAAAGCTAAGAACTTTTGGCACATTATTTGGTCTAATACACAAGGAATTGTGCTAGTTCAAGCAAGCTTTAACTTAATGAAAAACAAGAAAAAGACAGCAAAAAAAATTATCAGAGTCAGTTATTATCCATATTATGACAAGGTCTTCTACTCTCAGAGATGGAGACCAAGATTTCATTAACGTGGGCTTGTGCAGCCCAAAGCCAAACCAAACCATGTCTTGCAATACTTGCTAGCTGTTAGCCATTGCTGCTACCTGATACTTTTACAATGGTGAAGGGGGAAATAAAACATGTAGGAAAAAGATTCAACTGTGTTTTGTTCTAAACCCAAAGAGTTTTTCTCCCATTGAAATGGCATTTGGGTGAGTTGCCTCCTGTCTGTGGCTCAACAAATATGTACCAGGGAATGGCCAAGCCCCAGTTAAACAACCATCAGTATCTAATTATAAAAATGTGAGGCACTGGGAAAAAAGCCAGTGTGCCCATGGAATGATTCACCAAAACAGTCCTCAACCTTCATTTGATAACATAAGTATAACAAACTACAAATATATAGAGAATGTAAGCCTTAGAACTTAAAGTTAAAACATATCTCAGTTCTTAATAAGCAGGGGTGGGTTGGTCCAGGTGGTCCCAGATTAACCACAAGAGGATAGTAGTTCATGGTGAAAAAGCACAGAACACATTTTTACAGCTGACAGAAATGCACTGTGCAACCAGGACTTATTTGTGTTGTATACATATGTAAGGATTTCCTGGATAAAGATAGGATCACTTCAGCTATGCGCCGGTGAGGGATTTCACAACTGTTCAGAAAACTGTTTTTAACTGCAATATTCACCTCATCATATTCCCTCTGCTTTACAGCTCCAATGCATGCTGATGCCCCACAGAAGGTGAAAGTTCTTCCTGCTGTTATTCCCAGCCAAACTGCTAGAAGCCCAGCCTTATACACCAGCTCCATGGGGACCCTTTGCTTGGCAATTCCTAAGGATGGCTTTATCATACCATTCTATGATTCTATTATCATTGAAAGGTTATGAATAGCTCTAGGAAAGCGATACACTCAACTTGGAGCAGTCAGACCTGCTCTCCAATTCATTGGAGCTTAGTCCCTGTTTGCTGCTCAGCCACAGCTTTGACCAAAGACACCTAAATAGTCCCCATGTTGCAGCTGAGGCTTGCCAGCATACAGTTACAGGAAACCTGGACATAATCTAAGTCAGTTAACTACCAAGCTACAAACTCACCTTAAAGATGCCATTTGATAAATAATATAGCAAGTGACAGTACCATTTTGAGAGTGGAGAGCCATTCCCAACGCATATATAGCAATGGAGCACAAATCCCTGCATTGCTAAAAGCTTGCAGTGCCTAAGAATGAGGGCTGTGCCATGATTTGTGTTCACATCAGCCTTACAAACAGCAACTTCAGCCCCTGCGTAGATGCTGAGTTTTTAAAACAGAGCTGTGAACTCCTATTGCAGCAACATTCCTACCTGGCATCAATGGGACCATTCCCAGCTTTTACCAAGCTGGGAAACAAACCTGGGTACACTGCAGGGCCAACAGAGGGAGATGAGTGGGACAGAGATTGTGAAACAGCAATTGAGTTTATTCAGTCAACTGGAACTAATATTTTTTTTATAAAGGATTTAAGTTACTCTTATATCAAAAGCTTTAAGCTTCATTATAAATGGCTTCTAAGCCCCCTTAGAACTAATGCATTTTACACCAACACGGTTTCAAAATAATGGCTTAGCAACACTCAGGGCTGGCAGTGCAACTGCAGGAAAGCAAAACACAGTAAGGAACCACAGCCTACTGAGCTGCACCAAGCAAAGCACCAAGGGGCTCTTCTCCCTTCCTTCGGTCCCTTTGAGAGTGCTGGGGCTCCAGATCTGTCACGGTGTAACAATCACAAAGGAGAACACAGTAGAAGGGTAATATAAGAGGTGTAACAGCAAAGGGATGAATGTAATAAAAGATGCTACAGAGAAAAAGAGCTCACCTGTCTCTGAAGATTTACACTCGCAGGAAAACTCCACAAAGGACGGATCTCCAACCAGAAAACCTTCCCCAGTGGCAGCCAGCCCTTAAATGGGGTCTAAGAGAGGCGCAGCCAGGCTCCATCCCTTCTGATCACACAGCTGAATTGCCTTCACCTGTGCTCCCAGGGCTGACCAAGTCCTTTCCCCAGGTGCTCCATCAGTGGCTCAGACCATGACTCAACAGTTCCCATACACCTGGACACAGTGAAAAAATACTTGCTCCCTATCAGAATAGCTAAGTTTTGTTTTGTTTTGTTTTTGTCTATTAAAAATGGCAGCAAATAAAAGTGGGAAATATGTAGTAAGTCTCTTTCAATATCAATGGCTTTGGTACTATCCTATCAATCAGGTTGTTTTTTTCTTTAAAACCACTAATGTTCTCTCAATCAACATTTTCTCCTCTAAATACTCCCTATGTGATGGAACCACACATACAGAGATATTTGGTGTGGGGAGTTTCTTTGCTTTACTACATTTTTGTCACAGCTATAGCTTTATTCTCAGGAAGTCAAGTTAATTGATGATCCAAGTCAGGCATCCAAAAGTAAACCCACTGCATTAAAGCCAGGTCCAGACAAATCCCCTTCTAGCATGGCTGCTCCTTCTCAGTATCAATCCCAATTTTTTCTTCCTTATGACCTCTTCAGGAGTTTTTCCATGGCTGAAGTCCAAGGTCCACCAACACTGACAGTGGTGGGAGCTGCTCTGTATCATGGCAGCATTCAGAAGAAGAGAAGCCAGTCATGACTACTGGCTGCTCCACGCTGCTTTTACAGACAGCAATTTGTATCTGTAATGGAGTAGAAAAAGACCATTAACTCAACCAATGCACTACATATTAATTACCAAAATCATTAAAATAAACGTTTTAAGTACTACTAAGGAAGCAATTAGAAAAGTAACTTTGTATATAATACTTTTAGTTCTAGAATGAGAAATGTATGTGACTACTACGGGCCAAAACATGGCACATTTAATTTAAACCCTGGCAGCAAGGGGCAGGTTCCATTGCAGCTATAATAAATTACATACAAGTGCTACAGAACAATAACAAAAACTGTGAGCCATCCATTTCAGTACCATTTACAAGAAATCAATATCAATACTTAATGCAATACTGGTGAAAAATGAGCAAAGATACAGAAAGCATAATAAACCAGTAATGAAAGACCTTGCAGTGTTTCACTTTGGAAGAAAAAACTAACTGTCTATATTTTCATGTAGAGGGATATTTCACTGAGGCAATGTGCTGGAGGTATGAGTGTTTTGCAGATCTAAGTTTAAAATCACCTCTTTATTAAATTTAAAAAAGTTTTTTAAACTGCGGATTACTAGCTTAGTAAAACTCATACATATGGAAGGAAGCATTTCATCTTCCTGAGGTCCTGAATATATTTTTCATTGTACTGCTTTAGATCAAGCATTGTTCTACTGTGTACCTCTCTGAAAGCATGGGCAAGGGCACTTGCTTCTGCCAAATTTGGGTATTCTCTTTGGGAAATGAAAGGCTTAAGTTTTCCATTTAAACTGTCGAAGTGAATAGGAGATATCATCAGGTAGCCCTATTTCCTCCACCGGTTTTGGACTGCCATCCTCCTCATCATTATCTCTTTGCACTGTCAAGATAGATAAGTAGGTAGGTAGGCTGTAGGTAGATAGATAGATAGATCAATGGATGACAGACAGATTAGAAGTCTGACTACCAAGTTTATTCTAAGCAAAAGAGCATTCCTTTCAACTAAAATCTAGAAGTCTGTGAATTTTTCTGACTCCAATTCTGAGCTCAGAAAGTCCCAGATGTGCCAGTTGATACTTGCAACAGCCTTCATACGTGGTGAAGCTCTTTGCAAAGAGGAAGATAAGCAACTTCATTTTTAATGAAACAATAAACAGATTTAGTTGCAGAAATTGAAGGTTTGGACAAGGGGGTAAATCTGGAATCTGGAGGAGAGCTGGAGCTCAGTGGAGGACTTGTGCCCTTTGGAGGGTTTCTCAAGAATGCACACGGCAAAGACTATCAGTAACAGTGACAGAGGCACTCTGTAATCCTATTGCAAGACTTGTATGATTGGATTCCCTGTGAGATAAGGATGTCTTGCAGTACTTCATCTTTCACACACTATCAGTCTTAAGGAGGCTGAGGAAAATATGATGAGGCTGAGAATGGCTGCATGGGCCACCTTTATCAGTTGTCCTTCAGCTCAGACATCCAGGAGAGTTTATTCCTGGCAGGGATCATCTCAAGAAGGAATTCATCAAGTGTTAGTATGTGAAAAGAGCAAATGAGGCTGCTCTTTTCTACATAGACCATTTTCTGGGTTTCGTTCATGCAGTTGCTAGATTAGTGCAAAGCTAGTAAATGACAAAAAATGACAGACAGGGTCAGTCAGGAAGAGATCTTTTTGTATTTGTTCATCTACCAAGTGTAGCACTGCACCCTGGTCGCTCTATGCAACAGCAAGAGGAATGGTGAGCAAAAGGACTCTGAGGCTCTTCTGGGGATTACCACAGGGCTGGGACCATCGGGTGGACCAAAATACAAATTCTGCTGTAAGGACCAGATCTCCATCAGGAGGGGACTTCTTATGCCAGTTCCTACTTCTGCCAGTTCGTTTAGTAAAGGCTGTATGACAGCCTGAATTTTTCTCACCTGAAGGCCAAAGTAATGAATAGCTACAGTAAATCCACTAATGGGCACAAATAAGAGCACCAGCAACTGTAAATAGTTTGTTGTTGCTGTATTGTATCAAATGGTACCTCACTTGAGCAGGATCCCTTAAGGATCCTAGTACTGGCAGATGACATACAGCTCTACTCCCATGTTAGCAGGAGTATGTCCAGAACATGTGCAGCTGTGTAAAAGTCAGTGGGAGCTTGGATTATGTGCAAAATGAACAATCATTGGGGAATAAAAATATTCTAATTGTTGTTTCCACTAATCAGCTTTTAAACATATCCCCTCTCCAGGAGGAAATCAATTTTTTCGCAAGTAGTACAAGAGACTCCTATTATACAGTATGAATCAAGTCTAACTGATTAATCCCTTAAGTAAAATTTCTTTGTTTAAATTAATTCAACGCTTTCTGCTGCCACTCAGTTATTTTGCCTGAGGACATCACATTTGTTTGCTCACTCCTACCTGTCTAGGCACACCCATTCACTACTGTAATGCTCTCATTAGTTAAACGGATGATCCCTCAATATAATTATATGAAACATATTGCAGTAAACATGCTGTCTCACTCTTTAGATCTGCTTTTCATCACGGAGTCCAATCTGATAATTTAAGCATGACTCTATCTGAGCACAAGCGGAAATGGCCCAATCCAAATCCCAAAGAATATTTGCAGCAGTTTCAGCAGCCTTTGAGTTTAGGCCATAATGAGATTACAACCATTTTTTTTTTTCCTGCAATTGTTTTCTGAAAGTGATCCTATACTTTTACCTCAATAGAAAGAGATGCTGGGAAGGGTTTGGGGAAATAAAAAGTTGAATACCCAGTAGATGGTGCTGTAATCAAATTCTAAAACCTGTTACACGAGAGCCACTTAGCTGTGGCATGGCAAGTTTCTGCAATGATTAAAGAAAGTGTGTTTTCTTTCAAGGCATGTCATTGCATTTAAAACACTTATTCATCTGAAGTAGTAATCGTATAGGTAATATGGTGAAACAACATCGAGGTTGAAGAAATAAATAATGAGTGTTGAAGAAAAATGATTTATGAATCTTTTCTCCATGGTCCTCTGTTTGCAGGAGACTTTAATGGAAGCACAGATAACGCATTCATTTTGGGCAAGCAAAACAGAATTCTCCCATCTTTGCAGCATTCTGTACTCCACCTAGGGAAAAAAGTCTTAGCTTTTTCAGACTCTCTGACATTGTTGCTATAGTTCTCCACCACCTGCTCTTCCATATCTGATTCTCAAATTCACCCATTTTGTAACAGGAGCTAAACCTCAGCCATGTCCTGAGATCAGCCTCCTCCACAACCATAACTGAAGGTTGCTGCTGTTGATAACCTTTGATCTCCTCTCCAGGTTTTTCTGCCAACTTCTGCTTAACCTCTGAATTGCACCCATCTCATCTGCAGTTCTCCCAGGGAGGGAACTCCTGGACGTGTCAACAGGAGGAGCTGGGGGAAATTCAGCACTGATGAGACAGACACATGGTGGCCTTGGTGGTACCTTGCGGGAAGCTCGGGGCCATCACTGACCAGTAAGCATGGCCAGAAAGCCATGTTTGTGCTTGCTAGGCCTAATTTCTTGAGAAAATAGTTCTATTTGTTGATTTTTATTTGAAAGGCAAGCATCCTTTCCAGAAGGAACAGTGCCTGTGCACGGCTTCCCTGGCCAAGGCCTTGATAAGCCGCGGCCTACGTCATCTAGCTTTTAAAGAAGCCTTTAGACAAAGTTCTCATTCACTTTAGAAGAATACTTCATTCAACACTTCCCTGAGCAGTGTGACTACAAACGCCGTACACCTGCTTAAACAGATAGCCAAAGTCTTAAGAAAACTGAACCAAAAGAGAACTTTGTCTCATAAATCACGTTTCCTCCAGTAACAGTTCTCACTTGTGCAGAATGCGAAGTTGTGGCAAAGATTCCTTGGGCTATGGAATTTCATTTAGCACACAGCCTGGTTTTTAAATGAGAAATATAGCAGGGTGAATGCATGTACTTCTCTGAGCATAAAACTCTCTTCCCAGTGCTGTTAATGCACCCATTACAGCCCTCGGTACCCATGCAGGTTTGCACTGAAGCCAAGGGAAGCTGCACAAATACATCTGAGGACAGGATTTTCCCCCTAGCATAAATTTTTCAGAAAATTTAGTTATTATGTATGATAATTTTGGCTAATGAATACATTTGTATGATTCATTTATTATGTATCAGTCATTTGTAAGGTATCCACAGCATGTTTTATTAATTATTATTAAAACCTTGTATTTACTTTAAGCCATATCTCATCAGGATTCCTTCTCTGAAACGCTGTAGACTCTCTTTTAACCTCTCCCAATCTCAGACCTGATTTCTGCTTCAG